ATTACAAGAAATTCGAGTACATTATAATGAAGTTCTAATGCAACATTGGGTTCAAGTGTTTAGAGATATTTTGGATGAAGACAGTTTTTTACCAATTCATGTATATTTTTATAACACCATAGAAGGTTTTGTTATATTATTTACATTAATATTATATATATATATATAAAATATATATATATATTTTAGGTAACAACACAAGAAGAATATGATAATGTTCTTGATTTATTCCCGTACCATGATGAGGAGTTACAAAAAATAGAATTTCCTAAAAAATTTCCATTTTCGGATATGGTACCAAAAGTTTATCAACAAGTAAAAGAATTCATTTATGCTTGCTTGAAATTTTCCGAAGATTTAAATTTTACTCAAACAGAAATAGATGAAATGATTTGCAAATCAACAAATTTACTATTAACGAGAACATTTAGTGGATGCTTATCATCATTATTTCGAAAACCATCATTGGCACTTCTACAAGTAGTTCAAATTATAATAAATACCGGTTATCTTGAAAAATCAACCAAGTATTTGGAAGAATTTGTGTCAAATATTACAGGGTAATAAATAAATTATTTAAAAAATATTTTTTTATAATATGAATAAATACATATTTTTACAGAACATCACATGAAGGACAATTGAGTTGTATGGATGTTGAATCAGCTATGTTTAGAGTTGCAAGAGATGATGCTGAAAAACAAATATGTGAAAAACTAAAAAATAAACTTGATGAATTTTTAGAATTAGAAAACTATGATTGGAATTTGGCAGAACCTCAAGGACATGCATCTGGTTTTATTACTGATCTCATAGCATTTCTGCAAAGCACTTTTACATGTTTTACTAATTTACCGGTATTACATATATTATTAATTTACAAAATTTTATATTTTTTATTTTATTTTTTATAGATATTAAAATAAATAATATATTTCAGGATGAAGTTGCACAAGTTGCATGTGAATCTGCCTGTTCTCATATAGCAAAATCTATATTAGGAATATTAGTTAGTGAAGATGTAAAACAAATTTCTATGGGTGCTCTTCAACAAGTCAATTTAGATACAATACAATGTGAGCGTATGTATTTTTTTTTTATTCTTAAATAAAACGTATAACATATGATTACAAAATATTTTGTGGCGATATTGAATTGATTCGAATATACTATTCTAAAAAAATTTTTTAATTTTTAGAATTTGCTGCCTCGGAACCTGTTTCTGGTTTACCCGAAGGTATGTTACTCCAACATTTTGCACAGTTAAGACAATTACTGGACTTATTTATGAGTTGGGACTGGCCTACTTATTTTCATGACTATGGCCATGAATCAAGTAAATATCATTTAGTAACTCCAAATATGGCTGTACTTTTGTTAGAGAAGTATGTATCATATTTTTTTATATTGTGAAATAATGCACTATTGTCATTATTTACATCTTAAAAATATTATACTTACAGATTAAAAGAATCCGATAAAAAAACAGTATTTTCTGTATTAAAGAAAAGTGAACGAGATAAAAAAAAGCTTTTAGAAACTGTATTGAAACAATTACGTCAATTAGCACAAACGACACAACAACAATAAACTCAAAGTCATTATGTATATACCTCAGATTGTAAATATATAATTTTTAATATATAAAGCATATTTAAAAACATATTATTAATAAAATAATTGTGACAAAATTTCGATTGATCAATCACATATGATTCCTTATTATCATGATACAATGATTATTAACATGCATATTGATTTTCGTACTGTCGTCTTATAGTTTATTGTGCTTATGATATCAATTTTCTGATATTTATGTTATCATCATTTTTTTTTATAATTATTAACAATTTCATTTGAATTTCAGGCAATAGAATGTAATACATCAATAAATTCCCATTACACTTATTATTTTAATTGTTTTCCTCCTAAATTTGCATTATTATTTTACATGTAAATGAGTTACATATTGTACAATAACTGTACAGTGAATAAAATATGATGTATAAAGTCCCAATTCCTAAGTCTTACAGATGTAATTATCTTCAAAATTAAATATTAAAGAAATCAATATAATTCGTTAAAGTTATCCGAATTTTCACATCGATTTAATGATGCTGAACATTCATATTGAAATATAAAGTAAATACATATGTAGATAGATAATTATATTACGAGTAATAAAATAGATTAAATATAAATCAACAATAATTCCTGTAAAATAATACCAAGAGCTTAGAGTTTGATTCGTGAATCAATTCGATAAGTATTTAATAGAGGTAAAACAAATTAATAATATGCATATATAGACTAATTATGATGCATGTGGCACAATTTAATGGATGATATATAATGATTAGGACTAATCATCAATATTGTCAGGATCCACATCATCAGGTAGCATAGAATATTTATTGGAAGCTACAAAATTCTGAAATAAAAAGTGATTTACAATTATTTACTAAAATTAACATTTATAATTATTTACTAAAATTAATTAAAAAGATTTTTCCACTTACTGGAGCTTGCTCATCCTTTGCCTTTGGCATCCTACTAATATCGTCTTTTTCTCTTCGGTCTCTGTAAATATAATGCAATTTAATCCGATAACATGAATTTATTTTTAAATAGTATTTCTATTTGATTATTACCTATCTCCACCACGAATATCATTTGATCGTGGAGGACCCCTTGAAGATGGTCGTCCACCACGGGAAGAAGGCTGACCTTTAGAATCTCCATATTGATCTAAATATTTAAAAAATCTTAAGTATGATATTAAGTAATATGATATAAATTATTTTATTTATTTATAATTTATTTATTTATAATTATATTAAATCATATTTACCAGAATGAATAGGATGATTTCGTGGTGCCGATCTTTCATTTCGTCGACTTCTGTCGTCTTCCGATCGCCAAGTTTGTCGACCCCTTTCTCTTTCATCGCGACCCTCCTAATGAGAATGATATATAATAAATGAAATAATACCATATATATCATAAAATTTTAATTATTAACATACTTACTCCATTACGTTTACCCCAAGTACTTTCTCTAGAACCACGTTTTTCTGAATCTCTAAAAAAAAAATAATTATTAAATATTTTAAAATTAATAATTTAAAAATATAAACAATTTTTATGTTTCTTATACCCGTCTTCTTTGGATTTTGATTCAGCATACGATTTTGCAAGACGTTCTTCTATTTCTCTTTCTCTGGCAGTGGTATCTACAGGTTTTGCAGCACCAAATATATTTGTTGATGAAGCAGGTATAGCAGCAGTTTGAGCTGCAGATTGTTGTTCTTCTTTTACAATAATAGGATCAATAGGTTTTGTACGAGGCTGAAGTTGCAATTTCGGCCTAGTCCTTGGTTCAGCTATAATAATTGAAAGAAATTTTTTATATATTTTATTGAATATAATCATAAGTAATACCTACGTTTATTTTCTGTAGGGGGTTTTCCTTGTCTACGTTGACCATCACGATCCCAATCAGAATCTCCATAATTACGACGCGGACCAAAACTACTTCCTCTATCTCCACCATCTCGATCTCTACTATCCCTATCATAACGTGGCCAATCTCTATCCCTATCCTCATCTCTAAAACCACCTCTATCTTTAAATGTTGGTCTTCCTCTATCACTACTTTCACGCCATGCACCAGGTTTATTATCATAATCAGAACCTAGATAAAATACATTAATTTTAGTTTTTCTATCTAAATAAATTATAAATACATGCAAGAATTAATATAATATAAATATACTTTCATCTCTTCTATCTCTATTATCATATCGACTTCGATATGAATCTCCTTCTGAAGTCAAGTTTTCGTCTCGTGGACCACTTCTCCAGTCTCCAGATGTACGTTCAGGATCATCATAAGTATCTCTACGATTATCACGGCTCATTCGACCTCCACGACGATCATCATTAACACTATTTGAAACATCAATTCGTACTCTTCTTGTCTTCATAGGCTAAGCAATATTATACAATAATTGATAAGTGGTTATTTTGATATAAAATGTTTCAGGTTACAAATATAAGTTTTTAAACTTACTGTATTAGATAAACAAAGAGCATCAATCAAACTTTGACGATCTTCAAATTCAACATATCCATATCCTTTCAATTTATTAGAATCTTTTGGTAAACGTATATTAGAAATCTAAAGAAAGTGATAATTCAAGTTAGCATAAACTAGCATAAAGTTAATGGTTTATTAATATTTAATAAAAAAAAATTATTAAGATACTAACCTTCATATTTGCGAAAAATTCTGTTAAATATGTTTCATCCACTTCATATGGTAGATTTGAAAGATATGCTACATAAGGTGGATTAGTAGGAATATCCTCATCTGCAACACGAGGACCTCTTGCAGCTCTTGGAGCAGTGGGTAAAACTACTGGCTCTTTGCTGCTTCTTGATGAAAACCCTTCTGTAAATAATAATAATTGATATATTTTAGATATTTGTTTTAAATTATATTCAATAAAAATTTTAAATTAAGTAATATATAAATATATATTTATAAAATAAATTAATTAATATATATGTATATGCATATATGTATATAAATTTATACATATATATATGATAAAACATTATATATATATACGTATATAAAATTTTAAAAATAAATATGTAAAAAATCAGAAGAATATGTAAATTTTTTATACCATGTTCTTCTTCCATTTCATCAATCCAACTGCTGAATGGTTTTACTGGCACAGTGGGTGTTCCACCCCCATCAGCCAAAAATGACATTAAATCAACAGTTTTACACTTCTTCTTTTTTCCTTTTTTACCTGATAGAAATAAACATAGATAAAAGCTAACATTTTTTAAAAAAATTTTCAATATATAAGAATGCAATATTGAAAGCATGCTGCGTTTTGTAAAAAGTTTGGTTATGTCGTAAAAAAATAATAAAAGTAGAATAATATTATAATTTTTCATATCGAAAATATTCTCAAATAATCGAAGTGTTAATAGTTTAATTTTATTTGATAGAAATGTTTACCTGAAGACATGGTTACGATTCGAATTTAAAGTAATGCAAATCAAATCCGCGTTCCAATAGACCACACGACCAACCTCAGGATCCATAAGGCATGAAACATGTTTTAGAAAGATGCAAGTCAACCAACATTAAATATTACAAATTCAGATAGAAAGTTTATGATTTATGTAAATATTCTATATAAATGAAATATACAAATAATTTAAAATTGTTACAGTAATGATTAAAAATATTTATTCGTTTTTATTATCATATTCTTTTACCAAAAATATTAATCAAATTTTTTGAATTTTTTAATATTATTAATTATAAATTTATACAGAAATATGAATATAAAATAATATTGTATTATTTAAAATTTATATATTAAAAAAAATATTCATAATCATAAAAATAAAACTTATTAAAAATATAATTATTGTTAAAAGTATAATATAATTAATGTATAATTAAGATGGTATTTTTTGCAATTTTTAATTAAAAGAAACCAATAGAGATCATTCATAGAAAATTTCGGAACACATGGTTAACTTAAGAGTGAGTAGCGTTGTTACAGGAAGCAACTGCAAAGAGGCTCTAAGTCACGTGATCGTAACATAGTGTGCTGAAGACATGGCGGATAAAGAGGAGACAGAAAGGACCATCGCCGAAGACATCGTTGTCACCAAGTATAAAATGGCCGGTGACATCGTAAATCGTAAGAAAACGACTTAATGTTCACTAATGAAGCCTGTCAAACAAAAGTGAAATTGCCTGATTCATGTACAGGCTCCTTAATGTCATATTTTCTGTCTGGCCATATGGAATGTGGCGCGCTAATGCCGGGCTTTCTTACCATGTGGGATAGATAGCATTGACTACATTTTAATATTTTATGGATGCATTAAATATTTTATACTTTCTTAAAGATTGATCTACAAGAAATTACTATATTTTTATTATAAAATATCAAAAAATGTTTATTTTATATCATTATTGCAACGTAACAATCTTACTAGGAACCATAATTCGCTTGTATTTCTATATCAATGTGTTTCCATTTCCATAAAAAGAATAGACTTTATTATTCAATGAAAACCTTTATATTGAATATTTTTATATGAGCATTTTTATTTTACTTTTTATTATTATTTGAATAATATATCTAATTATATTTTTATGTTGACTAAAACTTATATTTAAAATGTCCATAAAATTAACTGAAATGGGTTTGTTTCAAATTTTACATATAAATAGGTCATCGATTCTTAATTTTTTTTTATTTTTCTTGAAAAATAAAAATGGAAAAAAATTAAAAATGAATATTTTACGAAACAAATTGGTAACTATAACTTTTTATCGAAACAAAATACGAATGTTTACGGTAAAAATTAATTTTTTTTAATTCGTAAAAAATAAAAATGAAAATTATATATAAAAAAAAATAAAATATATTAAAGATTTTTTGAATTTTTTGTAATATTTTATTATGAAAAAAATTTGATATTTTAACATTTTGCAAAGTATTAAATTTGTTTTTAACATTTATATTAATAATAAATTATATATATATGTGTATATATATATATATATATATATAAAATATTTTCTCTTATTTTCATTATAATAATATTTAAAATATTCCATTATATATAATGTTTAAAATATTAATTAGTAATTATAAGTGATAAATTATAAAAATTTAATAATTTTAATAGTTTAATAATAAATTTTTATCATTTTATAATTTTAGGGGTATTAAAACAAGTTTTAGATAAATGTGTTGCTGGAGCATCTGTAAGAGAAATTTGTGAGTTTGGAGATAAATTAATATTGGATGAAACTAGTAAAGTTTTTAAGAAAGAAAAAGAATTGAAGAAAGGAATTGCTTTTCCTACATGCATATCTGTTAATAATTGCATATGTCATTTTTCACCAATTGCAAGCGAACCAGATCTTATTCTTAAAGATGAAGATATGGTAAAAGTGTAAGTTTATGATATATAAATATAATATAATATGTTTATTTAAAAATTCTAATTTTTAAATAATAACTTGTATTTTTAGAGATCTTGGAGCACATGTTGATGGCTTTATAGCAGTTGTAGCACATACTATTGTTATAGGTTCTTCACCAACAAAAAAAGTTACTGGTAGAAAAGCAGATGTAGTGTTAGCTGCACATTTTGCATCACAAGCTGCACTTAGGCTTTTACAGCCAGGTACAGAGGTACGTTATGTACATATTTTATATTTATAAAATATTTAATTTTTAAGAAAAAACCTTTATATAATTTTGTCTTCTATTTATAGACTTATACAATAACAGAGACAGTAGAAAAGATTTGTGATGTATACAAATGTAAACCAATTGAAGGAATGTTAAGCCATCAATTGAAACAATTTAAAATAGATGGAGAAAAAACTATCATTCAAAATCCAAATGATGCACAAAAAAAAGAACATGAAAAATATACTCTTGAAGCATATGAGGTATAATTAAGTTAATATTATATATAATACTAATATGTAATCAAATAAAACAAAGAAAAAATCCATGTGGATTCAGGTATATGCCATGGATGTGCTGGTTAGTACTGGCGAAGGAGTAGGTCGAGAACAAGATACTCGAGTTACTATATTTAAAAAAACAGAGGAAACATATCAGCTGAAATTAAAAGCATCACGTATGTTTTACTCTGAAGTCACTCATAAACATGGTCTTATGCCATTTAATTTACGTACTTTTGAAGATGAGAAGAAAGCAAAAATGGCAGTTGTGGAATGCGTAAATCATAGGTTGATTGAACCATTCCAAGTGAGTTTCTATTAATTATATAATATATATATAATTATAATATATATATAATTATATAATATATATATATAATTTTCATGCTTTATTATAAGATTTTATTATAATTCATTATTATATTATAATTCATATTCTAGGTACTATATGAAAAACCAAATGAATTTGCTGCACAATTTAAATTTACAGTACTATTAATGCACAATCGACAACATAAAATTACCGGAATTCCTTTAGATCTTGATATTTATCAATCAGAATATATTGTCAAAGATCCTGAATTGAAGGTATAAATCGAATATTATCTTTTTTTTAATTGTTTCTTTTTTTATGAATTTTTTTATTTTTTTATTAACTAACCATTTTGATCATAGACACTTTTGTATACCTCAGTTCATCCGAGAACTACAAAAAGGATGAGAAAGAAGGCCGAGAAAGCTGCAGGTGAAGTGACAATGGAAGTTGATGCTAAGGCCTAACACAACCATTTTAACGTTCTTTATAACGTATTAACATCGTGTACTTTACGTTATTCTTGGTTGAACAGCTTCAGAGCAGAAATTAGACACTTTTCAGCGTCACTGTACCTTAAATATTTTTCCTTTGATTGGAAAGCCATTGATAAATTGTGATTCTTTATATCATTATATATTTACTATACCCATATTATTGTTTGTTTAATTACATAACTATATTTACATTTCTTAATTCAGGAAGTGTCCGTATCTATATTAGTTTAAAAAAAGTGTCGAGTTCTGCCCTGAATGAATCGAACTTTACGACACTTATTATGCCACCACTTATTGACACTTATGTTTTTATACTGGAGTATCTTTTTCATGGACCATGGTATTATTATACACTAAACAATAATTATTCATAAGTCATTTTGCAGCTAATGTATTACATTTCAAGCACATGAAATCTATTTTGCAAATAATGGTCGAAATATAATGACTTGTGCAACTTAATTCGACCGAGCCAGAAAGTTAATCGCACGTGCATTCATACTGTGTGTTTCTTTCGTAAAAGAAACCAATAAAATATGATTTTGATTTTGTAAATGTTTTTACAAAATTATTTCATGCTAAATGTCTATTTAATTATGCTAACGAAACTATTTTAATAGATATTAATACGTTCTACAGTTTCTGAATGCACTGCCGAACGTGATAATTCACTTTGACCTTGATGCTAGTTTTACACTATGTGATTTTATGCATCTTGTGTCTAGTGAATGAATAATCAATATCATAAAAAAAATCTGATTTCTAATTGTACAATTGGAATTAGAATGTCCATATTGGAATTCCGTATAAACAATGAAATGCCAATGAACTTCGAAGTGTTTCGTTGCAAGAACTTCCCAACCGTCAAAAAATTTTTTATTCTTATTCATTTTGACTTTATGCAATTTTACTGAAGTAAAGTAATATTGAGAGTAAATATTACTCAAATGATCATAGGAGCATTTTATGTTATTCACATTCAAGTGAATGAAAAAGGATTATCTAAGAGCAAAAGATTTTTGGTCTTATCGAGATAAAAAGGCGGAAATTATGAAATATTGATACAATGTAATGATAGTTTTATATAAGGAAGATAGATAATGTATTTGTTCTAGATATTTTTTCTACTCAAGTTGTGCATATGTCGAATGTTACCGAGTGTGCTTGTAAAACAAAAGATGTCTTAGATTATTGTGCACTGTCCTTCATTTGCTCTAATTAAACTATCTTTTTATATTTTATATCATTTATATTTATATAATAAAAATAAAATAAATATGTACTAAAAAATATTTATTAATATTTTTATTATAAATATAGATAGTATCAAATATAGAAAGATTGTATTTATTTAAATGGTATTTTCTTTAAAATTTTTAATAAAACATTACATTAATTGAAACAAATATAAAAAAAACTCATTACAAATAATTTATCAATATATGATACATATGTTTATATAAGGCAAAAAAGGACTGTGTACAAATTTCATACTTAAAATTTAATATGGTGGTATGAAAGAGAAATTGTTATTAAAAAATATTAATGACAAGCTAACAAGTATTTTGACACGTGCATATTTCGAGAATCATTATATTGCTCCTTTTTTCTCTTTCAAAATAATCATACTAATACATCTGTAAGATACTGTCTATTTCTAAAAAATCTACAAAATTTATTGACTAAAAATTAATCAAAAAAGATAGAATTTTATGAATAATATATCTTACTAATTTTTCTATAATATATAATCTCTGATGTGAAGAAATGAAAAGCAAAACATCAGAAATATAAAATCATATTTGCAGCTGTGTCTTTATTGTTAATATAACAGGTATGTCGTATAAACTAATATAATTTTAATATTTGCTTCTGTTATATATAAGAATAGTCAAAAAAAGATTAGTACTATAAAAGAATAGCAATATCAATTAATTACACGAAATTAAAATCAATATATTAAAAGTAACGTTCAAAATAATATCATCCATTATATTTATAGATTCGTGTCCATTTATAGATTCGCGAAAGAATGATAGATTAAAAAAATTTTTGTTTTTATTATTTTGAGAAGAATAATGTTAATGAATTTTTTTATCTTAACATTATTTTTTTAAATTGACAAAAAAAGCAATATAAGTACTGTAAATATATATGATTTATAATCATAAATTTATGAAAAAAAAAAAAAATGAATTTTTCTATGTGATTATCATATATCTATATTACAATACAAAAATTTCAATTTTAACACAATTGTATTAGGAGTAGTAATATCAGCAACATTTATCTCACTGTCATTTCTAAGTCCCAGTTCTATTAGCGTTTTCGTTAAATTTTCACGAGTTCTTTCCTCGATACTTGCTACAGTTTGCATATACAATGTTTTATTTTTTCCATCAATGTATGTTGTCAGACCCGGATTTTTCATTTGCAAGTCAGGTCTCTCACATAAAAGTTCTATCAAATCTTTTAATTTAAATTTAGGATTATTAATTTCGATTTCTTTTGGAACTTGGCTGCATGCCACACAGTCTTCTTTTTTTTCAGCTTCATAAGTATAAGTATAAATTCCATCTATATTATTGAGTACCTTCACAAAAAGAAATTATTTGCATATTGTTTCATTTTTACAATTATAATAAATTAAAATAACAATACCATATAATTATTTAATGAAGCACTGCAACTGCTAGCAAGTTTAAATGCCTCTGTAGCACATGTTGCAGCAATAACAGCATTAGTAGATGCTACAGCAGGTATAATATTTTTTACTACTCCTTGCACTAATCTATAAGTTAAGCCTTGTATTCCAAATTGTGCTGCTCTTTCATTAGATTTTTCATAAATCCAGTTTATATGTTGAGGATCATCACCATCTATTGCACAATCAAATGGATTTTCTTTTGGCCATTGAATTATTTTTACATATTCTATACAATGTTCTGGTAGACGGGGAGTATTTGCTATTGTACATAATGGATATGTGACCTATATTCCAATATAATAATAATTCAAGAAAGAAAAACTATATTATATTAATTAAAAAACATATTGGAAAATTTACCTGAGGAGGATATAAATCTAAAGTACATTCAATACAAGCAGTCAAACCAGGTAGTATTACTCTTGCATTTCCTTTAAAACCTTCTGTACCTCCATCAATCATTGGTATTACGCTTGATCGATCTAATTCTCCATTTTCATAAACTAACAATGATAATAACATGCCATTAATCCATCTTCTTGCAACTATTGAATCTAAACCACAAATTACTATGTGAAACTGTCTATAAAATTCTTCATCTTTATCTTGTATTTTGCAACAATGAGATATAACATTACAGCCTGGAATTCTATTATTAATAAATTTTGCAGCTACTTCTGCCTTTGATGAACCAATATCTTTGTGGTGGAAAAGAAATTGCCTGCAATTTTTTTTGATAAAATTTTTCATACTTTTTTTTAAAAAATATCTTAACAAAATTTAATAAGAAATATTTTGGTAAATTATCGTATATTTTCGTACCGATTAAGGTTAGATAATTCAATGGTATCCATGTCAATTACATGAATTTGTCTAAATCCCATTAATGCTAAATTTTTAAGTAATTCACATCCTAAACCACCAGCTCCAACAACGAGAATCTTACAATTATCTAATAAAAATTGCAAAGTTTCTGTCGATGGTTCGAAATCTGGTCTACAAAAGGGACCCGATCTTTCTAGTACTTTTCGTAAATTACTCCATCGTCTATGCATATGATCGGAACCCATTTTTAAATACTGTTAAAATGTATTATAAATCACTTTTAAATAAATATTAATTAAACATTTTAATATTTTATAACCTATATAGTCCAGACATTCATTATGTTCAAAATACTTATCACTTATGTCAATAACAGTAGCGACGCCAAACTATCACTTCTAAATGTATAAAATAATTACAACGGTGCATCACTTTGAAGCAGTTTTAAAAAATTTTTAATATAGTCTATAATCCTTTTTTTTCTTGAATCACTTTTTTTTAAAGAAATATCTGAAGAATATTAATGTATGTTATTTTCTTTATAAATATGTTGATTTAAATTCAATTGAAATATGTATATAAAATCTATAACTTTTTAATTTGTAAAATATTTGATTTTATATATTTAATACATAATATATATTTGTTTATGTAATTTTAATTTAATTAATTTCTTCAATTTAATTAAAAAATGACGGTTTAATTATTTTATATACCGTCTCTCGAGCGAACTGCCTTCCATCACGGCGTGCTTATAGCCTCGTAGTATATGCTTTAAAATCGATATGTAAATCAGTGTTGTACGGATGAAATGGTGAGTAATGCCTGAGTATTATATTAGATTAAACCGATTGCATTTCTACATAATCATGTATACATTGACCGCGAATTTTAAAATGTTTCGATATATTTTTTCTTTTTTTCTGTAAAGCAAATTTATTTTTTATGATATATATCCATAATATAAATTCATAAATATTTAATCATACAATCATTACAGTGTTGACAACATAATTGTAATTCACAAGTATATATATATATATATATATATATATATATAAAAGAAATTATTAAAATCTTTTTAAGATATTTGAAAAATATACATATTAAATTTCAAATCAAATGAAGTACTTTCAATCTTTCTATTAATTCATTTTTTTTTTCTTATCAATTCAGAAATAAATATTAATATCGATACTAGACTTTTTGCCTATAGACATTCGTTGTTCCCCTTCTTTTTCAGCAGGCAAGAGATACACATTGAGGCGCGCTCTTAGTGAATAAAAAGTTGCGCTTTCTTCACGAGCTAATATTATTCGACGATGCTTATAAAATAATTTGTATACATGCGAGTAACATGTGATCGATGATAGTATAAAATAAATGTAGTTTAATAAATACAAGATATTTGTTCGATTTGTGCTATTACAAAACGGAGCACTTGAGTGGTGTGCTTTCATGTTTACATGTTGCGCGCACGTCAAATCGATACGTCGTGTGCATGTGCGACCGAGTTTAGTGAGTGGATTATGAAATTTGTATATGACGGAAAAATTCGCACGTGGTTTATAATTGTCCATCGCGTTGTGTAAATGTACTTTTTGTTTGGCATTTAGATAGAGAACTTGTAATAGCAAACTTGGAAAATATTGAAGAAGACGTCGATAAATACATATCTATCAAAATATAACTGAAGAAGTATTAAAGTTATTGCTGAGGATTCGTGTTGGAGGTGAATATAATTCGAAACGATTCAAAAGCTTCTATGGGATATAATATTGCGAATTGGGAAATGATACGCACGAGGGAGGAATTGGTGGAGAAATTGGGTCTGGACGGCGCGGATGATACTAATACTTTGTTGAACAATATGGTAGACGTCAGAGCGTGCTACAAACCTAACGGAAAAGTAAGATTTTTGTGTCAAAAATTTTTCTTCTTGTGTTTATCAATTTAAATCAATGTATGTTCGTGAACTTGAATGCAATTGTTATGTCTTTGTTTGAGCTGCATAATTTAATTTTCATAATTGGTTTTATATTAATATATTATATTAATATTATGAAGAAAATATATTGATTAAAATGTGTTTTAAATTATAAAATTCATTATGTATAATTAAGTGAAATTTATTATCAATATCAATGTATTGATTCGATTTACAAATATTAATGAGTATTATATCATTGATTATAAAATTCATAAAGTATGTCATTAATCTTTGTTTATAAATCAAGAAGCATTTAAAATGTTATTTTATCGTTTGACTTGATTTAAGGAAATTACTATTGATTAATGTTCATAATAGGGGATAAAAGCTAGTTTTATTTTTTAAGGAAGCTATTCATTTGTAATTTACCTATTAATTTAAAGTAAATTAAAAAAAATTAAATAGATCATAATAAACTTAAATATTTTTTAGTTTTGCGAAAAAAATAAATAGAATAGAATATGAATGCTCGAAACAAAGACTAATATCGAATCGAATCGATATTTGATTATTTAAACCATTCGATTGCTCGATTCATTTTTCGAGTTTCATTTCATGTTCGAGTTTTACTTCATTCTGATATTTTATTTAATTAAAATTTTTAATTGAAATTATCAAATTCTATTTTTTATTTTATTTTATTCGATATTATATCTAAAAGCATTTATTATGAGCAATTAAAACTCTACAATCATCAACCATTTTCCATTTAATTTTACTTATCTATATTAATTTATACTTTCAATTTATTTATAATTTTATTGCATTCCATTAATATGCATCGAATCATTAACGTTTATATTTGATTCTTTCTCTATATTTGATGCATCAGTACTTTGCATGTTAAACGCATGTTAAACGCATGAATTCTTAATTGTTGTTAAGTTTGCGATTCTCTCTCTCTCTCTCTCTCTCTCTCTCTCTCTC